CACACACACACACACACACACACACACACACACACACACACACACACACACACACACACACTTTCTTAACTAGCGGCTACAGCGCAGGAGAGAAAGCGAAGGCTTTTGGCCCACCTAGGCCCCTGTAGCGAGAGGGCGGGGCCCGGGAGGGCTCCGGGTGGCGGCGCTGGACAGCGACCCCGAAACGAACCTGGTCCTTATGGGACGGGCCTGGAGCCTCTTGAATTTGTGGGCACCACTGGTCGGCAGGGTCTATGGAAAACAGGCCTGGGATCCAAGGTTCGGGACGGAAACTTACAACTCGATGCTGGGCCTTAGCTCCCTCTGGGCGCCGGGACTCGGTGCCTTGAGGAGGTGTGCGATAAGCTCTCGGGGAGCTCACTTTTGGGAGAACAAAGAGAGACCCAGAGGGCTAGGAGATGCAAAAATGACGAAACATCTCGAGTGTCAGCGCAGGGTGACCAGCCAGTATCTTCCCTTGAGAGAACACCTGCTCACGGAATTGAAAACGAGGAAGAAATGAACCATGGGAGGGTCTGAGGGGAAAGCATTTCAGGCAGAGGGAACGGCCAGCGCAAAAGGCCAGAAGTGAGGGGCAGCTTAGCAAATTGAGGGGCAGGCAGGATTGATGTGGGTGGAACAGAAGTCACAGGGCAGGGGACTGATACCAGATGATGTCAGAGGGACAGGTGGAGACTAAATCTTGACATGTAAGGAGTTTAGATCTTATACTAAGTGTAGGAGAGTCATCGGAGGGGTTCCATAGGGGAGCATGTACATTTTTAATATTCTATCTTCGATTTTGAGACTAGTCTGGTTGGAGATGAGCAAGAATGAAGCAGGGAGATTAGAAAAAAATCTGGAGAGATTAGTCTGGAGAGTTAACAATGACAAGTAGTGGTCTGAATCGATCTACTTGGAAAACAGAGCTGACTAGATTTGCTGGTGGACTGTAAGGGCAAGATGAGTCAAGGTTCTCTCCCGTATTTCTGGTCTGTTCGACATAATGACTTGATTGGTTCATCAAGCATGTATTGGGTATCCAGTAAGGGCTGATGGCAGTGCTGGCCTCGTGGGAAAGACAGGGGAAGCATGGTGAGCCCTTCGGCCAGAAGTTACTTGCAGACTTTCCATTGGTCTGGGTGAGCACTTTCCATAATAAAGGATCTCTTCTCTCTTCCCAACCTGAACACGCCCTGCCAGGTTAGCTATGCTTCTGGGATATCGCCACTGATGCTCCTTTTATTACCTACAAACATCTCCACTGATGCTCCTTTTATTCCCTACAAACAGTTCTAGTCATTAGAAATTTTTGCCAGCTACTGGCTCTACTTCTACCCTCTACTTCAAAAAGGCAGAGAAATGCTAGTTTCCTGAATGCTTCTTAAGTGTTTGAAGACAGCGTTGGTGTTTCCTCTAAGACATCTCCATTCCACATGGAACATACCCAGTTCTGTAATAAATTCCATGTAAAACACCCTCAGCCTTCATTTTTCAGAGCTCTTCTCCAAGGAAACCAAACTCAGCACAGCAGGGTCATCACTGGCATAGCCCTCGTTCTAGACTTTAGTACAGCTGAGATCGTGTCAGTTTCCTTGGCATGTGTATCACCCTATGATTTTGAAGAATTTGTTGATAAAATCTGTTATTTGAGGAGTTTCAAATCTAGTAAGGACAAAATTACAAGGTTTGCAAGTGCTAAAATATGCAGTATAGGCAGGAAACACTACACATGCTAAAAAAGAAGACTCAGGAGGTAGGATGAGGCCCTTTGGAGACAGGTTAAAATTTAGCTGTGTGAAAGGACAAGGCCCAAGCACACATAAGTGAATGAAATTTACTACTGCTGTGTTAGGCATCTGTTGATATAATTTCTATATTTCTGGACACATAATCATTTCCTTATGAACTGATACATTGCTAAGTCATCAACTATTTGGCCTTTTTTTTTTTTTTCTGGTTTTTTGAGGCAGGGTCTCACTATGTAGCCCAGGCTGGCCTCGAACTCATGGGGATCCTCCTGCCTCAATTTTCCAAGTGCTGGGATTACAGGTGTGCACCACCATGCCTGATTTATTTGACCTTTATATTTCAAATTCTTATTTTGATAGTGCAAAAAAATTTGAAGTAAAGCCACTGGCCTAACCATGTTTTTGAAGTGGAAGAGGCAGACACTTGATCTGTAGACTTTTTTCCCCCTGGCCTAGAATATCCTTTAATTTATTAGTATTAGACACTTTTGAGGATTGATTAACTGTATTCTTTTTCTTTTTTTCCTTCCTCTTCTTTTCTTCTCCTCCTCTTCTTCCCCTGTCCCCACTTCTCCTTTTTGGGTGCTAGGGATTGAATTCAGGGCCATCTGCATGCTAAGTGTATATTCCACCACCCAGCTACAGTCCTAGCTCCTGATTCATTGTTTTCTAAGCACTTTGAAGTTTAATGCACTTGACTACATTTTACAATATAATATGCTAGGCCCATAATCAGTTACTCCTGCTTTGAAGTTTTAGTGATAGGTTAGACAAATGTTGGTAGAGGAGGGACTCCACACCTTAATTAAAGTTTCTGGTCCTAACAGAAAAGTTTATTGGTTAAGAATTCACCATGGAAGCCAGGCATGGTGGTGGCACATGCCTGTAATCTCAGCACTCAGGAGGCTGTAACAGGAGGATCACCACAAGTTTGCAGCCAACCTAGGCTACATGGTGGGTTCAAGCCTAGCCTGAACTACATAGCAAGAACCTGTCTCAAAAAAAAGGCGGGGGCCAGGGATTTAGCTCAGTGGTTTCGCCACCTGCCTCACAAGCTCAAGGTACTGAGTTCGATCCCCGGTACCAAAAAAAAAGAAAGAAAGAAAGGAAAAAGAAAAAGAAGTAGCCATGGAGTTTAGTGACAATTCAGACCTGGAAGAAAGAAGACACCTGTACTTATCTACTCTTTCCTTAGATATTTCATTGATTTTAGAATTCCTTTTTTTTTTTTTTAACCATGGCAGTAATCCTAGCACTCAGGAGGCTGAGGCAGGTGGCTGACCACGAGTTTGAATTCAAGGCCAGTTTAAACTACATAGCAAAACAAAAAACAAAAAAAAGAATTCTCATCTCTAGATCAGCCTCTATGCAGAGTAGTTTCAGGCTATTTTCTTCCTTGATGCTGTGATTCACACTTAAAACTACCTGGGGCCTCCATCACTCACAGAATGAACCATAGACCCTGCAGCACCATATTCAAGATTTTCTGCACCATATTCTGCAGTGTCATATTCAGGATCTGCACTACCCACCTTTTCAGTTCCATCCTATACTCTTCCCCTCCTCCAGTCCAGCTCAATACACTAACAACATGGATATTCTGACACCGACATTGCCTCTGTGTGTACGTGTGTGGCTGTGTTGCTGGGTATTAAATCCATGACCCTATGTATGTAAGCTTGTGCTGTACCTCTGAGGTACACCCCAACCTAACATTGCCTTTTTATACCTTATATGGGCTGATGGGAATTAATGCTTCTGTTGGGAATCATGTCTCTATGTGCAGGTATCAATATTCTGCTCATTCCTAAGGATGGCTGATATTGTGGTTCTTCACACTCTCAGAAGCATGCAGTACATTCAGGTCTCTGCTGGCCTGTGTGTTTAGTTTTCTACACCAGGGTCTAGAACCGGGCTACTGCCTAAAGGCAAGGCCATCAGTAAATTTTGGTCCAGGAATAAGGGACTGTGTGGGTGGTATCCCTCGCTTGGAAACAAAGTTGAGATCTGGTTCAGCTTTGTGCTTATTAACTGTGAACCTCAGGGCAGTTATTTAATTAGTGTCCTTATGAGGATGTGATAAATGCACCAATAACATAAATGACTTATCATACCCTGATAAAGAAGGAATTGGTTGTTATCAGTAGCAGTAATTACCACAGGGCCTGGCTAAAGTGCCACCTCCTCTCTGGAGTTTTTCCCTGACTGTGATTAGAGGTGGTGCCTTCCCCTCAGAAACCCTGTGAGACCTCATTAGCCACAGTGGTCAGCCCTCATCATCTGCCGCCACAGGCGCCACTTAGATGTCTGCAGATCTTGTCTCCCCTTTCAGATCAGACACACTTCTAGAACTGAGCAAGAACAGCACCTAGCACTGGCAGGACCTGCTCTCTTACCTTAGCCTGGTAGTTCTCAGCTGGGGACAGTTGGCAACACTGGAGACATTTTTGGTTGTCTCTCATAGGGGGAAGTGTATGTGTGATAGGGGGCAGGGAGAGTTGTTATAGGCATCTAGTGTCGCAGGCCAGGGATGCTGCCAAATTATTCCAGGACTCTGGACATCTCCCCACAGAAAATTATCCAGCACAAACTCCTGGTAGTGCTGAGATTGAGAAACTCCAATTTAGCTAAGAATCATGCTGGGTCCACATGCAGTGATAGAACAGGTATACTGCGTTTCTAAGGAATGATGAAAATCTTGGATTATGGGGCCCAAATTGTAATTTGTTTCTTTAGAGTAAAAAATGACATTATAGCTAATATTAACTGAGCTTCACTATAGTATGGCACTGTGCTCTTCTGGCTACACTTATTTAATCCTTGTTACAAACCTATGAAGACAGGATCTATTTTTTTTTTTTGACAGCTCTGTTATTACCCCAACTTTACACTGTTGGAGGCTGAGGCCTAGAGAGATAAGTAATTTGTCCAAGACCACAAAACTAACAAGTAGTAGAGTTAGGGGATTTGAACTCTTCTGGTCTTCAAACCTGAGCTTTTTTGTCTGCTGTGCTATAGGTTACACTCCAGGAATGACCTAAAGACTACAGTAAGCTACAAGTAAGATTTTATGATTATGAAACTGGAAACTCTTTTTTTTTTTTTGTATTAGGGATTAAACTGGGACATTGTACCACTGAGCTACATCCCTAGCTCTTTTAAAATTTTTATTTTGAAACAAAGTCTTGCTAAATCGCCCAGGCTGGCCTTGAACTTGTGACTCCTACCTCAGCCTCCTGAGTAGCTGGTATTACAAGCATATGCCATCAAGCCCAGCCCATTTTATTTTTTGTGGTGCTGGGGATCAAGTCTAGGGCCTCACATATGCTCCAGCTTACTTTTTGTCTTTTGTTTTTTGTTTCCAATGTAGGAAGCTGGGCTTGGAGATGCACACCGTAAGCCCAGGACTTGGAAGGCTGGGGCAAGACGATCACTAGAGCCCAGGAGTTTGAGGCCAGTCTGGACAACACAGTAACTCCCCATCTCAAAAAGAAAAGTAGATAACAATTTTTGAAGTTATTATACATCAACGATGTAATCTTTTTAAAAATCCATCTTTCAGGGCCGGGGATTTAGCTCAGTGGTGCCAACGCCTGCCTTGCAAGCACAAGGTTCTGAGTTTGATTCCTGGTACCAAAAAAATCAGTCTTTCATGAAAAGTATATTTTATGTAACATGTAATCAGTTAACTAGATTTTTCTTGGTAAACTAAGTGTTCTTATATTTGAAGTTGACTTTAAAAAGCCAATGAGGGGCTGGGGATTTAGCTCAGTGGTTTTGCTGCCTGCTGCACAAGCTCAAGGACCCGAGTTCGATCCCTGGTACCAAAAAAAAAAAAAAAAAAAAGCCAACGAGCAGTCCTCAAAGTTTACACTCTCAGGCGACTAATAGAATAGTGTTCAGTTATGGAATCTATAATTAAAGCACCTTGTATTGTCTGGTTTTAGAGTGTCCAAAGGTTTAAAGCATAAAGAGTAACATTTTATCTTATATTAAAGTTACATTTCCCATTTGTTGTATACATGTTTTATGAGGAATGTTCAACATTACCCTCCAAGTCAGTTCCATGCATAACCATTTACCAAATATTGCTGATGTGGTTTCTTCAAGGAAGCATTCTTTGTGGTGGTTTGATGCAATGTCATCTTGCAGCTTGACAAATAGGTTTGTAAGGAATTAGAAACTGTGTGTATTAACAGTACCTTTGTATAACAGAATGTAAAATTAAAGATGAGAGATATGCACAAATGATCATTCAATGTTTTTAAATTGATCAATAGTATATCTAAAACTGTGGTTCGTATGTTTTAACTTTCATAGTACAAAATAAATTAAAATAAAAAGAAAAGTAGAAATGTCTAATTATTGAAGTAAAGGTATACATGTACTTTTGAACACATGTTATACATTGTGTATAATAACCATAATAATATTAATAGCCGCTAGCTCTTTTAAAGTATTTACTGTGTGTCCCTCTTCTTGCTACGAACTCTGTAGACATTATTTAATTTGCATAAGTCCATGAAATAACTAATATTATTAATGTCCTTATCATTTTACAGATGAGGAAATTGAGGCACAGAGAGGTTAAGTTGACCAAACTCTAGCGCCAGGAAAGGTGAGTTGGCCTTAACATCCAGAGCACTGACTCTCAAAGGTGTGCCCTTGGTTAACTACTGAAACTACTTTCCATTCTGAAAATAACTTGTTTTCTTAAAAAATATATAAATAAATTCAGAATTTTGAATTGGAGTTGATAAAAATTAGGCAGTAGTTTGTGTCATAGTGCCTGAAACTGTAAATCTGAGGAAGTTTTAGACTTGGCTAAAATGTATTAAATGCCTTTTGCTTGTGTGATATAACAACTCAGCCCTTTTCAGCAAAGTAGGACAAAGGAATAAGTTTAAAGAACATGAGTTGTGGAATAAGGAGATTTGTAGAATTTAAGGAAGCTCTTAAATTTGGGTAAATGAGCAATCCCTAGAGGAAGTATTCTGCAGTCAGGGATGCTGTTGAAGAAATTCTGGAAGAGGAAAACAAGTAAATGTTCTTCTGTAGTAGACTTTTGCATGCCATATGTTACTTTAGCAACTTGATTTTTTCTTTTTGAGACAGAATCTTGCTTTGTAGTGCAGGCTGGCCTTGAACTCACTGTGTAGCTCAGGCTGGCCTCCACCTCATGGCAATCCTCCTGCCTCAGCCTCGGAGTGCTGGGATTACAAATGTGCACCACCATGCCTGGCACTACTCGCTCTTGATCTGGAGAAAAATCAGTTAAATTTTTCACATTATATAGTATAACACATTCCATATACTTAGAGCAATATACATGGGATTTTTGTTGTTTTTTTGGTGCTGGGGTTCGAATCTAGGGCCTCCTGCATGCTAAGCAGGCATTCTATCACTAAGCTACATGACCATCGACCCCCATCCTTTCTTTAGGTTACTATGTTTGTGCAGGCTGCTGTGGTGAGGGTCCTAGTGTGGTATTACCTTTTAAAGTGACCTTGCTCAGATCTTGTGTTTTTTACAGTTTATTTGTTGAGACAAGATCTAACTATGGTGCCGAGGTTGGCCTTGAACTTCTGGGCATAAGTGATCCTCCTGCCTTAGCTTCTCAAGTAGCTGGGACTACAGAGCCCACCATCACACCCAGATTTCTTCCAAGTTTAACTTTCAAAATAGAATTTTATTTCTCTTGATTCCAAGTTCTTATGGGGATACCACTAAATCCACTAAGACTTGACAACAGGGGTGAGAGAAGTTAATAAGAAGTGTATGTGGTGTAATTATGTCTATGTAAAAGTGAGATGGGCAGTACCTTAGAGTCTATAGTTACTGGCAATTGCAAGTCCTTACATGTTACTTAATTATTTAGTTATTAACCTATAATCCCAGCATTTGGGAAGCTGAGGCAAGAGGATCACTGAGAGTTTGAGGCCAGTTTGGGCTACATAGTGAGTTCAAGCCCAGCCTGAACTACATAGTGAGACCTTGTCTCAAAAAAAATTTTTTTTGAGTTATAAACCAAACTGCTATCAATAATTGTAATATTGTAAACTCTTCTTTCTTGGATGGACACTCTCTACCTTTGTGTCTTCACAACAGAACAGAGCAGACAAATCTGTTCTCAGTCCACGAGATTTTATGGATGAAGAGGTAAGTGTGCAAAACTCAAGTGCCAGTTAGGTGGGACATGTGTGGCTGGTTGTTGTGGCACCTTCCCTCTCCCTGGAAAGTCCAGTATGTGATGTCCTCTGTGTTTGTAGGGCTTTCCCTTTTAGGTATTTTCACTAGAGTACCCTGTACATCAATGCAGTCTCCTGCATTGGAGCAGTTTCTATGCTAGGGCCAGGTTCTAAAGTCAGGAGTATAAGAGAAAAGTCATGTGCAGAAAAGTCATATTTACTTGAAAAGTCCCACTTGCCCCTAAAGCACTGTATCCATGGTGCTTAGCCTACGGCTTTCTCGAGTGTACACAGTGCTTTAAAGAATAGTGGAGCAACTGGACTAAAACAACCTCTTTATCCTGAGCTCTTGGGCTGGATTCATCATAAAGATTAAATAAAGTATTTATAGCAATGTGCTATAGACTGCAAGGAGGAGGAAAGATAGGTCTCTTTCTTTTTTGTAGCAGCATAACCTATTAGGAAATTGTATTAGTTTTGTCACTGTGACAAAATACCTGATAGAAATCAACTTAAAGGAGGAAAAGTTTGTTATTTTGGCTCACAGTTTCAGAAGGTTCAATCAATAATCAGTTGCTCCATTGCATTAGGCCTGTGGTGAAGCAAAACATCATGGCAGGGAACATGTGGTAGAGCAAAGTTGCTCACCTCACGACTGCCTGGAAACAAAGAAAGAAAGAATATGAGAAGAAGGGCCAAGGACAAAAGATGCCCTTCAAAGGCATACACCAGTGACCTACTTCCTCCAAGTAGGCCCTGCCCCTTAAAGTTCCTACCACTTTTCTGTAGCCTGTTAAGCTATGGTCCATCAGTGGATGAATCCATTTATGTGGTCAGAGCCCTCATGATCCAGTCACCTCCCAAAGGCACTGCCTATGAACACTGCTGTATTGAGGGCTGTTATAGTTTGGGTCTAGATGCCCCTCCAAAGCCTCATGTGGTCATAGGTGGGGCTTTATCAGAGGTGGCTGAATCTAGAATGTGTGATGCTGGGATTAAGGGTGTGTGATTACTAAATCAATTCACTAATTGGTTTGGCACCACCCTAATCTCAGTAGCCTAGATAGAGTATAAAAAGGGCAGAAAGAAGCTGCTAGGGTCTCTTGCTTGCTTTGCTATCTTCTTCCCCCCATGAACTCTTTCTCCTCTGCAATGCTCCTCTGCTATGCCACCCTGCCTTGGAGCCAGCCAACTATGGACTGAAACCTCTATAAACTGTGAGTCAAATAAACCTGTCCTCCTTAACTTTGTGTGTCAGATATTTTGTTTCAGCAGCAAGAAAAGTAAATAAGACAAGGACCAAGCTTTCAACATGTAAACTTCTAGGGGACATTTAAGATCTATATTAGTGAGCTTTCCTGTCCCTGGGACAAAATATCCAATACCTACAAGTTAAAGAAGAAGCTTAATCTGGCTCACAGTTTTGGGGACTTCAGTCCATGGTCAGCTGGCTCCAAGGCAGAAACAGCATGGTAGAAGGACATGATGGAGGAAAGCTGCTCACCTCATGGCAGCCAAGAAACAGAAGAGAAGGGAGAAACAGGAGATAAGAATACAGCCTTCCAGGTCATACCCCTCAGTGACCCACCTCCAGCGGGCCCCACCTCCTGACAGCACATTCAGGAATCCACTGATGAGTACAGCACCCCATGATCCAATCACTTTCCATACACATGAGACTTTTGGGGACCCCATAATAAGATCCAAACCATGACAGTCATAGATCATGTGTGGCAGGTAGTTTACATGTAGTGAGCTTCTCAGCACTCTCTCATACTTTATATGTAATGCTTTTTATGTGTAAGGCTTTTTATGTGTAATGGTCCCCATTCTTAACAGTAGTGTATGAAAGTTCATGTTTCCTAACCTCAACAAAACTCTGTCAGACTTTAAGCTTATTATTTTCTACTTTTTCCCTTGCCCCCAGCCTTAGACTCTGAGTGAGCTCTCTGAGGGCAGCCAGCATTTCTTGTGGGTTCTTCCTGATGAAGGAGCAGTGATTATTGACTTCCTGTTAGAGTGTGAGGGGTGGGGTGGGGTTGGTGGGGTTGGTGGGGTCCGCTAGTGATGTATTTAGTGATGTACCTCTGATCCTAAAGCTGCATCCCTTTACAAGCACAGATGTGGTCCTGTAAAGGGCCAGTGAGTTGGGGTTTTTATTTTTGGTTGTTCATTACTCATGCCTTTGAAATCTCTTTTAGAGATCCCAGAGTAAAAATCTGGCTGTGAATTATCCCCTGAAGGCTCTGAATGTTTAACGGTATTGGTTCACCAGAACTTGTTTCTTGCTGATTGTGAGATTTTAGGGTTAGACACAATTTGAGAAATCAGTCAGATCCTATTACTGTGAAATACCCATCCCCTGAAACTCCTCTCATTTTATCAGATAGTGTATTCAGGAAAACACCTGCACCATAGATATCCTCAGTCTGTTCAGATTCATAAAATGGAGTTGTGCTAGTATCATTTGTGCAAGGATGCGATTTAGTTATTTATACAGCATAAATGAAAGTTTGGTAATTGTTTGTTTGGAACTAATCACCACATTAGTATTTATGAGTTTACTTTTCGCCATGGAGTGACTCACCTTAATGCTACTTTAAACATTGGAAATAGGATGAAGATGATGACTACTTGCCCACTAATGTGACCTTTGCATCCAAAGACGTCAGCCCTGTGGATTTTACACTGAAGAATAATTAATGTACAGGATTGGGTTACAAGGGCCTGGATCCCCACCAAGTACGGATTGGAACTTCAATAGAACATTTGAATCTTTTCAGTGGAGGATCTGAGGGAGCCAGCAATCTTCCTGGAGAAGTTGGACTAAATAAAGGAAGACAATTGGGAGTTTCAGGCTAGGTAAAAGTGTTTCTGCATATAAAGGTGGAACCACTGACAAGTGAATATATTTTCTGTGTTTTATCTGCACCACTCATTCTTTGTTGAGTGAATGAAGACTTTGAAGTGGTTAGGTTTTCCCAGCATGTTTTCTGGAAGATTTGTGAAGCACCTTCCTGATTTTAATATAGGGTTCCTGAAAGCCTGGGCCCATCTTCTTGGGGTTATGTGTTGCCGAGAGTAAGGATTGGTTTCTTACTTTTTTTTTTTGGTACTAGGGATCAAACTCAGGACCTTGTGCTTGCAAAGTAGGCACCAGAACCACTGAGCTAAATCCCTGGCCCTGCTTTCTCACTTTTATGAGGCCAGGCAGAAACCATTTTATTTTTTTTTACAGACTGTTTCACTATGTATTTTTTTTTTTTTTTTTGGAGACAGAGTCTCACTGTGTAGCTCAGGCTGGCCTTGAATGTACTATGTAGTTCAGGCTGGCCTCGAACTCATGACGATCCTCCTGCCTCAGCCACCCAAGTTCGGGAATTACAGGTGTGTGCCAACCACCATGCCTGGCTTGGTTTCTGATTTTTTTACCAGGACTATAAATTATTCTTATGACTTGAAAGAAGATAAGTAATATTAATATAACATACTATCATAGTATACTATAGTTACTATATAACCATATATATTTAAATGAGTTTTGTATTATATTATTATTTATTTATACTATTGACAATATTTTATGTTAATTATATCATAGAATAACATATTATTAAACATTCTTTAGAAATTGGTAGAATTAAATTGATAATATTGTATGTCTGCATTAATACATGCTAATTAATTATACTACTAATCAACACATATCAATTAACTAAAGTAATAACATCAATATATCAATTCTTTTTGTTTTCTGGAGATGGGGGTCTTACTATGTCACTATGTACTATGTCACCTAAGCTGGCCTCAAACTTCTGGCAATCCTCCTGGCTCAGCCTCCTGAGTCCTGGGATCACAAGTTTTTACCACCCTGCCCAGCTCAATTCTATAACAGTTAATACTAATATATTTAAATATATTAGTATATTTTAATATACTAATATATTTAAATTTATACATTTAAACACTTTGTGAGCCAAATCTTTCCCTTACTCTTATACAACAAAGATTGCCACCCCTCCCCACACATAGGTGGTGCCTCTCCATGACTGCAGCCTTCTCTGGTCTTTTTCCACTGTGGCCCCTGACCCATAGCTTCTCTTCTGTCTTCTCTTCCATCCCCAGGGCCACAACTTCTGTAGTTTTGACTGAGTTTTTTTTTTTTTTTTGGTACCGGGGATCAAACTCAGGACCTGCATTTGCGAGGCAGGCGGCGGAACCACTGAGCTAAATCCCCAGCCCCTTGATGGAATGTTTCTTAACTGAGTGAATCTATCTTCATTTTACCTAATTTCCATGATTGACTTTTATTTTTCTTTTTTCATGATCAGTAGGGATATAATAAATATTCTTTTTATTAGTACATATTGTTATACAAAATGGATTGCATTTTGATATATTAGTACATGCATATCATACTTTGATTGTTCCCCCATTACCCCCTTTCCTTTCTCTCCCCCTCCCCAGTCCCTTTCCTCTTCTCTAATAGTTTCCCTTATAATGAATATTCTTATATCTGTATCTTTATGCATATTTATTCCTTTAAAATTTTTCAGAGTAAATTTATGAAAGAAAAATTTTTGAGTTTTAAAGGAATACAAATTTCCAAGAATGTGATCTTGAATCCCAAATTATCCTACAGAAATTAGGAACTTTATAAACTAGTAGAAAAGTTCAACTGAGTTGAAGGGGAAACAGGTTTTATGGGGAAGGTGGTCACTCAATGGTGCTGCATTAATGAGGCAGGAGATTAGGGCATGGCAGACTGGCTGGGGAAGTGGATGTGACCTGTTAATTATAAAGTTCCAGGACACAGGGGCAGAACAGTTTCCAAAGCCCTGCACATGGACTTCTCATGAGAATTCGAGGTTTGGATAGGATGGCCTAGACCTCCCTGAGAAGAGGGAGATGCAAAAAGATGGTTGCTGTTGAGCCCAGGGCTACAGCAGTCCATTCTCATGTTGTAGAGTGTACCTTTTCCCCTACTTTTTCTTGGCCCAAACTCACTCTGCAGAGCATGTTTCTTTCCCTACCTTTAATAAATATAAAACCTTGCTACCGTTTGTGTTTGTTCTGTCCAATTCTTTGTTCAGAACAGAAAGAACCTAGAGACCACCTCTAGGAGGAGACTCCAGCACCCCAGAACCTGGCAACATTATCTGGGCAAGACTTTGGCTCCTCTTCACTGTGAGCTGGGCCTGCATCAGGACTGAGCCAGAGCTTGTGTAGGTGCTTGTCCTATAGAAGGAGCTTTTGGTATAGAAAATATAGTTCATGTGCTTAGACTTTGCTACAACCACCCTAAGCAGGAAATTGAGACTCCCAGGGCCCTTTGCTGGCAAGGCTGTCTCCATGGCCGGCGGACAATCTCTTACTCTGAGTTCGAGGGCGTTGGTCATTCATGTCCTCAGCTGTGATTATTATCTTCTGTTAGAGTTTCATTTGTGAAAAAGAAATGTACTTTTAATTTGTCCTTGGGTCAGATTACAGGCTAACCCGATTGACCTGCCTTTTGTCCTTTATTTGGGTTGTTGCTAAGGAAATTGAGAGGTACAGTAGTCTACCTATGCTCCTTCACCTCCTTTCAGAAACAACTCTCACAGTTGTGATTTCTATTTTAGCCATAATTTTCCTCTTGATGGTTTTGCTTGTGACCTTTTACTCCATAGAATATCCATAGGCTCAGGAACTAAGGTCCTTTTTCTAAAAGTAATGTTGAGGTATTGTCTTAGGAGACCACACCCTCGTGTCCTGGCTGCTGAACAGCCAATGGTGGCACAGGCTGGGCCACCAGTCACTGTGTCAACAGAGGTGTGCAGGCTTTACGTGCCATTATGTCTTCACCTTGCTGCCACCCCTGAGTGAGGTCACCTGTGACATGTACTGTTTATGTTCTTGGAGATAAGAAGCTCATGTCTTTTGTCTCACTCTAATTGTCTCTACTTCTGGAGTTAATCAGTGAGATTATTTTGTAGAAACAGAGAAAGATCTTGGCAAAACTGTAGATGTATTTTCCTTGGCTTCCCAATCTTTATCATCTAAGAAAATGAAAAAAATTTATTAAAACAATTTTTTTTTCTGGTTTGGTACTTAAATGTTTACTGTTATGTAATCAGAATTGTTATGTTAATTGAAACAAGAGGGTAATTCTGTTTTCCAGAAAAAACAGAATATTCTGAACCTGGGTGTGGTGGTCCATTCCTGTAATCCCAGCACTGAGGAGGCCAAAGCAGAATTGTGAGTTTGAGGCCAGTGTGGACTATATAGCAAGACCCTGTTTGAAGAAAAAAACCACAAAATCTGCATTAGAAACATCAGTCAGTAGCTATGTTGTATTTAAACCTCTATTGCTAAATCCTCCCCTGCCCCAACCCCATACTGGGGGCATAGAACTCAGGGACATCCTGCCCCTAAGTAACATTGCTAGCTTTTCCTTTTTTTGAGACAGGATCGCACTAAGTTGTCCAGACTGGGCTTGAATTTGCAATACTCCTGCCTAAGCTTCCTGAGTCACTGAGATTAAAGGAATGCACCACTGCTCCCAACTTAATTGCTAATCTTTTAAAGCCAAACTTCAAATTAATGTTTATTTTCATTAAAAGAGATATAGGAGGAGCTGCAGATGTAGCTCAGTGGTCAAGTGCTTGCCCAGCATATGTAAGGGCCTGGGTTCTATCCCCAGCACCATGGATACGATTCTAGGTGCAATATAACTCCAGGAAAAGCAGAAAACTCCCCCCAAACAATCAGAACCCACAGTCATGACTCTTCCTGGTGCCCTGAAACCAATGTGAGCCAGGTTCCCTGGACTCCATAGCAGCGACTGAGCAGAGGGGGCAAGTGGCAAGCAAGTGGGTCAGGTCCAGGGAGAGCTCTCGGGCCTCCAGACAATCCTGCTTTTATGTGAGGTTTTGTTGCAGCATACGTGAAAATGTGCTGTCTGGCCAAGCAGTGCTCTTCCTTTATTATTATTATTATTATTATTATTAATTTATTTATTTTGGTACCTGGGATCGAACTTGGGTCCTTGCGCCTGCAGAGCAGGTGGCGAAACCACTGAGCTAAATCCCCGGCCCAGTGCTCTTCCGTTAACTTGCATCAGAGCCTCCTGCTGTCAGCACACACTCAGGACCTGGCTGTGGATGTAGGGGCACCTGCCCATTTACTATGTCAGCACTCCTTATTGAGATTGTTTCACACTCTAACCAGCTTTTCTTTTTTCATTCAGCAAACATGTGTTAAGCACCTCTAAGACGTGGCCTCTGCTTTTTCAGAATAGAGGAGGCCAATGGGCAGTGCAGCCTGAAAAACCACATTCGGCATTACAGAGGCTTGGCTTTGTTTAGTTGTGATAGTGGAGATGTTCTAACAGCAAACAAATACATTTAGAATAGTGTTAGACATGTAGTAAGCTGCTATTGTTACCAGAAATGCCAAATAATATCAAAGGAGAATATAGGTTTTTTATATGTAAGAAAAGGAGGCATAGTTTAAAATGGTAGAGAAGTACTCATTTGACTTAGGGATCAATTAGCAATAATCACGCCTCGGATAAACCTCATTGGCTATGATGCTGCCACTGCGCAAAGCTGACTGACTTAGGGATCAAAGATAAACTGTTCTGGACTTGGGAGTGTGGCCTAGGAGTAGAGCAATGTGCTCACGAGGCCCTGTGTTGCACCCACAACATCCAGCAGACACATAGGGAGCCAAGTCTCAGGCCCAGGGACACCCTGTCAATGAGGGTGTGACACAGACTGACACAGCACAGTGCAGGCAACTGCAGTCAGTGCAGAGGTAAGTCCTGGGGTCCCTAGAGAGCTTTGTGCGAGAATGACTTAGAGGAGGGCTCTGTTCCCCTAGCCTTTCACAGGTGGGCAAGTGTTCTAGGTAGGTGGTTAAAACCCCAGCCTCTGCATTGAGAGGCCAAACAGAACAGTGACTTGGCAGAGGGAGAAATGCTTTGAACCTAATGGGGCTTATAAAGATGAGGCATGTACACACCCCTCTTTTCCACCAGGCTCTTCTGAATTCCTATCCTTTTTTCTTTTCCCTTTTGCTTTCCTTTGTCTTTCTTGCTTTCAGCTTTCTCTTTCTTTTTTCTTTTTCTTTCTTTTCCTCTTTGTAGTACTGGGGATTGAACCCAGGGTCGTCACACCGAGCTACATCCCCCATTTTAAAAAAATTTTATTTTGATACAGGGGCTCAAAAGAGGCCCTGAGTTGTCTAGGCTGGGCTTGAATTAGAGATTGTCCTGCCTCATCCTCTAGAGTGTATGTGTATGCCCCTATTATAGACACCTAAGTTAGTTAAAATATTATAGGCAGTCAGAGGGGGCTGGGCCTTTGAGAGAGTCAGTGCAGAAGATAAGAACACATTAAACTATGGATGAAGGTGCATTTATTTAAGATCAGGCTTCAAGAAAAGGGAAAAATGGGCCGGGGATTTAGCTCAGTGGTTTTGCCGCCTGCTGCTCAAGCATAAGGACCTGAGTTCGATCCTTGGTACCAAAAAAAAAAAAAGGAAAAGGGAAAAATGACTATACCCACATATTTCCCCTACAGATGAACAGCAGTGATTGATATTCTAAATGGTCACCAATCACCTTGGGTGGGGGACCAGAACCTCACCCCATTCCTTTCCCCAAAATCCTTGTTCAGTCCATGCACCCTGGGTACGTGACTTGCTTCCCCATTTGATCCCCATTTAATCAATATTACCTAAGCAACTACACTTGTAATCTTATTGGTTGACCATAGTTATGTCCCACCTTATGCTCTTCCAGTGGGTCAGTATTACCTAAGCGATTATTCTTGTAATCTATTAGTTGACCATAGTTTTGTCCCACCTTATACCCTGCCCCACCTCGTGGTTTTGCTCTATAAACTCCCTTGAGAAGCAGAGTCCACAGGGAACCCTCTTTCTGGGCCCCCTTCTGTCTCTCTTAGAAGCTATCTTTCTCTCAATAAATACTTCCTACTCTTAACCTCCATTGTTCCTAGAATTCATTCTTTGATTTTAGAGAACATGAACTTGGCATATCAGACATCTAGCAGGTTGGGAGTTATAATATCTCCCTCATATTATTTGGATTATTTGGAGGTCCATATATCATCCTTACGTCATAAGCCCTATATCACTTGGAGGAATCCTACCGAGATAATTGCATGGAGGTAAGAGTTTTCTTTTGTTTCATAGATCCTGGATTGTCACTCGCTTAGGTAATCAAAATTGTCTTGAATTTTTTTTTTTTTGGTACCGGGGGTCGAACTCGGGTCCTTGTGCTTGCAAAGCAGGCAGCGGAACCACTGAGCTAAATCCCCGGCCCCTATGTCTTGAATTTTTGTCAGTTGCATATACCTTGAGTTTTTATGCCTTGTTTGTCTTTTATGCATTGTCTTTTGTTAAAGCGATGGTAAATTTAAGTTGAGAACATGGGAAGATATGTCCCATCAAAGAAAATGACATTTTACATTTTATTCTTGTTTTGTATACACTGCATTTGGGCTTAGTTACTGAATTTACTGGTGCTCTTGACTTGACCTGTTTGACTGTTGTGGTTTGTTATGTCAGACAACAGTGCTAGGGAAAAAGTAGTGTTACAGTGACCCCCTAGTGGACTTTGATATAAAATTCTGTAAAATGCATCTTTTTTATGAAGTCTAATTTTTATTTAGAATATATACACGCCTATTAATAAATCACAGGACCCCTTCTGTCAGTTAAAAGACAATAGATTGGTGACTGTTCTTAAGACTTAGGGACAGGGTCGGGGATTTAGCTTAGTGGTTCTGCCACCTGCCTGGCAAGTGCAAGGTCCTGAGTTTGATCCCCGGCACCAAACAAACAAACAAACAAACAAAAACTTAGGGACAGGTTTCAATGAGACAGATCAGCCCTGATTGCCCCTCTATAACCCAGAGGGACTGTCAAGCCTGTTTTGCCTCAGTTTCTCTTCTGGTCTAATCTTTGGTGAGAAGGCAGTCTTAGCTCTTGAGATTCCGCATTCTCCCCTTTCCAGGCTGAGACTGCTGACTCATGAGCAAGTTGTCTCAACAACTCACCATGAACATGAGAAGAAAAAACTTCCTTTTGCCGATCTCCTTTCTGATCTTTTCCTGCCATTTTATGTCCTTCTCTTTAAAGGCATGTAAGATTAGAGAAAAAGGAACCCTAAAGTCTCCCAACCTTTCCTTCCTATCCAACAACTAAGAACCTTTAAATTGAGTCCATAGAAAATGAGCATTTGCTAATGCCGAAACAGGGAAGTCATCTTAGATGAAGAACATGTACCCCATCTCTGGGTCAAATGAGACATTGGGACTTTGCCCATCCAGGAGAACACACGTGAAAGTGATATCCTCGCTTAGTGTTCTGGGCAACAGTCTTCCTTGGGAGAGTGAACCTGAGACCCTCGTGGAAAGAACCAACTTCCTGGTGAGACTAGAAGGAGCTATTTCCTAAGCACAACATTTAAGGGACCAAAACACATTTAGTTTAAGGGTGAATCCCCAACATCCTGGCATTCTCTCTCTCTCTCCTCTCCTAGGTCTGGTTCTCATCATTTATGTGTGTAGGAGAGGAAAATACTTCTGCTAATAAGTTGTGGACTTTGAAACTTTTATTGTAAACTTGTAAAATGCTATGTAATGATTTTGAGGGAGGGATTTTGATTTTTAGACAGCTTAAGCTTTTATCTCTACCATATAGGACTCAAACAAACAGTGGTTTGGAGATAAATCTCTGATTGTAGAACTAGTCGAAGCTGAGAGGACAACTGAGGGGTCATTGCCAGGGCTACTCTCTGGCAGATACCCAAAGATTCCCCCATGAAAGGTAGGTCCCAACAGCCTGACTGGGTAACCAGAAGAAAAATCTCCATTTATCCATTGTCCCTACTTGCATTCCTCAGTGAGGTGAGAGGTAGCTCTCTCAGTGATCTCCTGGTATCCTCTGTTTCAGAGTGACCAGAGATGACACTGTTAGAGCCCTCTTTTAAGCCTTCATTAAGAGTTGAGTTACAAGTTTGGACTTTTTC